TTTAAAAAATTAAATAAAATGCACACTGGGGATAATTTAATATGCCATGTATTATCTTTAAATGAAGATAATCAACAGTAGTTGTTCATTGTTCAAATACGAAACCATTAACTTAAATCTTCTTCATTTTCATTTAAATATATGCACACTCATTGTATGGAAGATATACCCAATGCCAACTACAGGATATGAACAACAGGCCTTCTGGCAAAACTGTGATGTGAGTCTAGCTACATTTTCTCCATTGTAATGTTCCTTTAACAATGTAGCCTCAACAGGTGTTGCTACAGCGACAGCATTTCAAAGTGCTTGCCCACATACCCGTGCTATTACATGAGCGGCACAATAACAAACACAGTTTATTATTTTTAACTTAAATGTGAACTCCCAAGCTCCTCTTCAACGGTGTGTTTGTCGCTACTGTCTACAAAAGATCTTTTTTTTTTTTCTGTATCCCTATAAATGTTTACATTTTAAGTCCTAAGGAAATACTCAACTGATCAGACACCAATAAAGTGCAGAAAGTTAAAGCATTAACAGAGCAATTCCTGTGTCTCTCTGGAAGAAAGTTTCTCATTGCAGCTCGCTCCCCTCCCATAGCGTGCTGGGATTTCATAAGTCATCTGTGATAATCCCAAACTCCACATTAAGTATTATTGGTCACACATAAGGATCTTACTCAACATGCCTGAAGCAAAGGTAAGGCTAAGAAGATGTTTATTGAAAGCATGCGAGCCAGCCTGCATTTCTATAGAACGAGTGTTGATTACATTTTACTCACTCAGTTATGAAATCTTGTGTGTAATTATAAATTATAAGTTAGCCTGGGATCACTTGACACTAGTTACAACAAGTTAATCAAATTTTATTCTTGTTTTTCCTATCTGACAATAATGCCACTTGACTATCAGTTCAAGATGGTATGGCTGCACAGACTAGAGTGATCCCTTAGCTTCAGAAAGCAGCTTCTTGCCCCATCCCCTTTCCCTGTAGGGAAACACACACACACACACACACACACACACACACACACACACACACACACAC